GGAGAATGGGACTTAACATGTCATGGCATTTGAAAGAGCTTTGGGGGTACCCTCACAACCAAATGACCCGGAACCACTCTAAGAAGCCCCCCAACCCGGGTCTGGTTTTGCCTGTTCACTCAGGAGGCCTGAGCTCCCCACCGCCCCAACCACCAAACACATGAAGGCGGCGCCTGTGGGTCCCCGGCGCAGCTGGGGTGTCAGAACAGAAAAACCCTAACCCTGACTCCTCCGGTGGGGACAAACGGGGCGCCTCGGGCTTAGCTTCTCCCCCAGGCACCGGGCTCTGTCCGCCCAGCCCCCTTTCTTGGCCATGGTCTTCGGGCCACTGACCTCCCCCAAACCGTGGTGCTCCACCGCAGAGCTAGCCAGAGTGTCTGGAAGCTTCTAAGGAAAAATTAAGTATTTTTTTGTTTCCTAGTGGTATTCATGGCCGTGTCCAGAAGAGACCATGATTTAAAAGAGACATTTTTCTTAAAGTTGAGTTGAAACACCTGATAACCTGCCCTCAGCCCCAGGCCACATGCCTGGAAAATTCTACTGGTCACGGTCTCCGTCGGCAGCAGCCCGTCCATCTCCCCGCCTCGCTGCGCTCCTTGTGAAAGAAGCCCGTTGCCTGGGGCTGACCCTGGGCCTCCCCTGGGCGCCCACAGGGCCCGGAGGCGGAGGGCGCCCCACCCCACCCCCCGGGGTCTGCGCCCAGCTGAGCTGGCGGCCCCGGTGGGCTCTGAGCCCGGCATCAGCTGATGAGATCCCAGGGGAGAGAAGCGGCTTCCTGGAACGGCCTCCCGGGAGACCTGAGTCATGTCCAGCTGCCGGTCAGCTCTCCGTGTGAAATGAAGCCGCTCCAGGGCTCCCCTCCTGGCGTCCCCGCGCTGGGCCGCGGAAACCAAACCCACGCAGGGGCTTCTGGAAAGGTCTCCCAGGCGCATCCGCGCCACCAAGCTCTCTCGTGGCTCTCCGGCCCCGGGCTTGGTCCTCAGCCAGCGGCTGCGCCTCCCGGAGCAGCCAGGCCCTGGGGAGACTCGCGGGGCCCTGGGGCGAGGCTGGCAGGACTCCGCGTCTTTGTCCCGTTTCCCTGCTCCTCCTTCCTCCCAGGTCTGCTTGGTTTTTTTTTAACATTGACCTCGCTGCTAAATGACCTTAAGATCTGCTGCTCCACAGAAGCCGAGTCCTTCCTTGGCACGGTGCACTTAACTATCCTCTTAAAGTTTAATGCTCCTTGAGATCCAGGTGGGAATCTGCCGCGGAGCCGTCCCCTGGGGGCTGGGGGCTGGGGGACCCCGAGTCTCGGGGCCGCAGACCCGCAGTCACCTCTCTGGCTCGATACCTCAACTGAGGTGTGACGTGTGGAGCCGCCTCAGGGAGGTCATTTTGTCATTTTTTGATGTCTCCAGTCTCCCAGCGAAAGCCATGTATTTGCCAACCAAGGTGCGGCCGGATCGGGGGGGGGGGGGCGGTCATTGGAGGGGGAGTCATTCTGTGCCCCTCCCTGGACCTCGAAGCTCTGTCACAGAGCCCTCTGGGGCCAGAGGGAGGCCAGGTGTCTGGCTGGGACTCTGGGACCCTGATCCCTGATCCCTGACAGCAGAGAGGGCACCGCAAGCTCACACCCCGGAGAATCACGGGCCACGATGTTTTCAATGGAACATTCGTGATACTTTGCATGACTCTCGAGAATATGCTCAGACAGTTGCCTATTAGGGCGAAAAAGCAAAGGGCCGGTGACGGGAAGTTGGGGGTGCCTGGGTCAGCTCATCTGTGCATCCCACCGGCTCCAAAGCCAAAGCCCACAGCACCGCGTGGCGGCGGGGCAGCCTGGCCTGGGAGCCGAGCACGCAGGGTTCGTTTAAACGCATCTTGGTAGATGAGGTAAAACGGTTTCCCTTACAAGTTCCTATTTGCCTAAAGCAATTCGTTTGGAGAGCAGAAGCCTCATTTCAAGGCACAATTTCACCTCAGTGCACTCCTCCCTGAGCAGAGCAGGAGAAAACTACAAATTTACATTTACTTCAGGGGTTTAGTCACACTTGGAAAAAGAAAAAACGTGCTGAACGGTTTCTAAGGGTCCTCAAAGATTCCCTGCAGCCGGGACCCCACCCTGGGAAGCTGCCCGCCCCGCTTGGAGATTTTTCTGGAACGGGGCGGGAATCAGTGCCCTCTAGAGGCGAGGCGAGCAGGCTGCATTCTCAGAAAGGGCTGAAAGTGCTAACTCCAAATTCCATCCTTCCCAGAATAGACCCAGGAAACCAGAGGCACAAAAAATGATGTGCTTGAAAATTAATATAATTAATTCCTGAAAAGAGCCCCTCCATGTACATCGGGGTGCTCCCTGAGCTTGAGGCAGGGTTAGGAGGGACAATTTGAGGGGTAGGATCAGCTCCCAGAGTCTATGTTGAAAAGGGAGAGGCCACATCTAAGACGGAGGGGTGCAGAGTCCCCCCGGCTCACAGCTCTGGACTATGGGAACTTTCTAAACCTTCCCTGCTCTCAAATTTCAGCCACTTGGCCTTCCTTGTCCTCAGGTAGAGCTTCTCGCGGGGTTCTTTAGAGACCAGCCAGCACTCCCTCCATCAGTGGCTTCCCCAGCGGGCGTGTGCTATGCCAGCGTCCCGCAGCGAAGTCACAGGGACGAGTGTGCACTGCGGACCGTGGGAGCTCGGACAGGACCCCTCTGCTTCTCCGGGGGCCGCAAGTCCCAGCCTCTCCCTCAAGGACAGCGACAAAGTCTAATAACGTTCCCGTATCACCTTTGGCTGACACTGCCGGCATGACCGCAGGAAGGCCTGGGACACACAGCTCTCGGCCGGACGGTGAATTTTAAATCCTGAATGTGGAATTTCACATAAATGTGGTGGACACCCTCCGTGAGTCGCCTCCCCAGGGCCTGGTGTCTGCTCTCTCCAAGCAAGGAGACAAGAGAAGCCGGGGCGGGGGCGGTGGGGGGGGAGTCCTGTGCCAGCCTTCAAAGGGGAGGGAGGCCTCATTTCATGCTGAGTCTAAGTGTGGCTTCTGAAGCCTCGTCACCCAAGAGACAGGAGGCTCAGTGACCTCATCGGTCCTCTGTCTTTGGTGGGATGAGGGGGGCCCTCTCTGCACTTTGTCATCGGATTGTGTTGGCTTCTAAGCTATGAAATCGCGCAAGGACCCCAAACACTTTGGGACTAAGGAGCAATGACAATGGAGACAGGCAGTGATGCTTCTTGTGCTTGGAAAACACCCCCTGACCCCCCGACCCCTCACCCACGGTGGGTAGGCACGCATACCCCCAAACGGGGGAGAAACGCTGCACCAGGGTTAACATTCTAGAAGCTTCCCCAGCCACTTCCCAAGAAGGTGCGGGACCACACCCTCCAGTTCCCTGGTAGGAAAATGGCAGAGGCAGGGAGCCCAGTCCTGCTGGGGTGCTCTCGCAGTGCTTTTCTCCTGGCCAAGAGCGGAGACAGAGAAGCCTGAGGCTCGCCGTCTGAAAACCCCATCAACAAGGGGCGTCAAGACCCCTTGGCCAAGCTGCACCCCGAATTTGTGCAGAGCCCTTTACCCCATCACCACCCACCACAGGCCGGGGCGCAGCCTGCTGGGACCACCTCCTCCCGCGGGCCGGCTCGCTCACCCCACGTTTCTTTCTCCTGAGTAGGTCGAGGCTTAAGGACCGTAAACCAGAGCTTATTAAGCCAATGTTTAATCAAATGCAGCGGGAAGACGCGATCTCCTGGGAGAATAAATTAAATGGCTCATCTAGGGGGAAACGAGAGTAAAACTTGCATTTCCAGCTCAGCCCCTGGTGCCGTGGCCTCTCAAGTCCTTCCGCACCTCGGGGCGGTTCTTCCCCCGGGGCCAGGGCCCGCGCCTGGGCGGCTTCCCACCGGCTCCCACTGTCTGGCCAGAGCCCAGAGTCTCCTGATGCAGGACGGTCGGCTGGTGTGCAGGACGGTCTCGGCCGGGGCCGGGGGCACTATGAAGCCATCCTGCACAGTCCAGGAGTGGGCAGACGGGTGCCCTGGGAAGTCAGGGGAACCCAGTGCAGCGTAACGGTCCTGCGAGTGCTGACACTTGCCACCTAAGATGCTCCAGTGTCCTCGGAATTCGCTGTGTGCAGGGCGAGGCCAACATCCCCCACCATCCCGTCCCTCCCGGGCAGAACAGCCCCCGGCGCGGCTTTGCTCCGGCGCTCCAGACGCTGGGAAACCCTGACTTCTCTTTCACACCCCCCAAGGCTCCCCAGGGCCTCCGGGTGACCCCACGCGGCCTCCACCAGGTCGCTTTCTCACACAGTGGGTCCTTGAAGCTGGCCCCAGCTGGCTGGCAGCTGTCGGTCAGCGCGTCCCTTGGGAAGAGAAGACCAAGCCCCACCCTCCCCGCCAGCGCGGGCCCTGGGCCTCCCAGCTGGCACCCGCTGCATCGGAGCGGCAGAGGCGCCGGCTGCCCGGAGCCCAGCTTGGTCCACTGGGCTCGCGCCCAGATGCCCGGTCCCTCCTCCTCTCACCCCTGCAACTCCTTTAAGTCACCCCAGAGGACAAAGACCCTGCCGGCGAGCCTACGTTCCTTAAAAGATAAGGCCCCACAGGAAGGACCAAGTAGCCAAATCACCCCAGTCCCTGAAAACAGATGCACCCCCACCCCTGCCGGGACCCCAGGCGGAAAGCCGCCTGCCCCTCGGCGGCCAGAGGGAACCCCAGCCCCGGGACCCCGGGAAGGACACTCCCACTCACAGCAGAGTCCCCCCTGGTTTCAGGAGAGGGAGCCTAAAGCACGGGGCAGAGAAGGTGGGGACCGGGCCCAGGAAGCCCTGGGGTGGGGGGCACCCGCCTGCAGCCCCCCGCATGGGCAACCCACGGCCTGAAGCCGGCACAGGAAGCCCGGCCGCGGCAGACGGAGACGGAGCCGTCCGTGAGCGCCAGACCCGAGAGCTGCGAGAGCCCCACCAACGCCAGGGCCGCGGGGGGAGGCCCGGCTCCCCGCCCCGAGCCCGCACCCTCGGAGGCCGGGCCCCGACTTACCCTGAGAGAGCCTGGGGAGCGCGTCCTGTGTCGGCCCCGGCTCAGCTAAGTGGACTCTGAGGCATGCTCCTCCCAAACACCGCTCTTGCCTCCCGCAGGAGAGGGAACCCCGAAAGCCACAGGGCAGGAACCCCGCTCCCCCTTAAGGTCCTTGTAGGCGGCTGAGCCCAGGAGAACTGAGCGGCCTTGAGTGGAAGATTGAGTCCAAACTGGCAGGGCTCCAGGGGTACAGTCAGGGCTTCCTCCAGCTCCTCCCCGCCCCCGCCCGCTCCTCCCGCCCCCGCCCCCTCCCCACTGCGGGACGGACCCAAACTGTAAATGAAAACCAGACCCCGCGCCTGCCCGGCCGGCCGCCGCTGATGTCACCCTCGGGCGCTGTCTCCCTCCAGCCGGGGAGCGGGAGGCCCACAGCCCCGTCCTGAAAAGACCCGCCCTCCTGCCCGGCACCTTTTGGGCTGGGCCTGCGGCAGAGAGAATGAATTTGGGAGTTTTTTCCCTGGGTCTCCATGGTTTTCTTCAATGTTTTCCAACACCCTCCGCAAGGCAAACAGGAAATGCGATCTCCCTCCACCCTCACCACGCCCTCGGGTTTCTTCTTGAAGTTTCTGAATTGAGACTTCTGCTAATAAGCGCCTCTTTCAAATATTGAAATCCCCTTGGCTTTCCGCTCCCCAAAGCGCTGTTGGCCAGGGAAAGGCAAGAAAAGGAGACGCGGTCTTTTTTGTCAAGTTCTATATTTAACGACTCCGATTGTGAGGCTGAGCGTCCCGTCCGGAGCGGGCTCGGGGGTCCTGCCCGGAGGTTCTGGGAAGTTCTGGGTGAAAACTGGTGTTTCTACAGGACTCGGGCACTTCACGCGTGAGAGACACTCTCCATGGGGCACATCAGCACCCCAAGTCCTTTCAACTGGCACACCTCGTTTTCTCATCCACTTTATGGATGAGAAAAACCCGGGTGAGTGGCCAAGCCGGGTTAGAACCCCAGGCTTGGAGACCCCCAGCTCCCCACTGCTCTCACGTGGCCCCCTGGGAATCGGTCAATGCAAAATATCAAGAGATGCCTGAAGGTACCTTAGATTCGAGGTCCTTCCAAAGCCAAGCCCTGGGGGGCAGACCCCGCAACCCCGATGTCTAGGGGTGCTGGGGGCGGGAGGGCGCGCTCCTGCGACCAGGTGGCAGAGAGGACGCGGACGTCTCATTGACCACCCCGAGCCTGCGCCGCCCCTTCCCACGGACCGGCTCCTTCAAGCCCAGGGCAGACCCCCCGCCGCGGCCCCAGAGCCCCTTGCTTGCACATAAGAGGACTCACCCCGATACGGCAGCCCGGGGTCCGCTGGCAGAATGTGGAGCTAAGGGAGCAGGGTGGGGACCTGGACCGGCCCGGCCATGGGGGCGAGCGCGCCGGTGGCGGGAACCGCAGCACCCAGGCCATGGGCGGCTGGCATTCCCACCAGGCCGTCCTCCCGGGCCGGCTGGGCCTCCCGCCACTTCGGAGGGTCACGCCTGCAGGCTCCCGTTGGGAGAGCGACTCTGCCAAGCACATCCCCGGCCGCTCTCACAGCGCTGCCCCAGCAGCCGGGGGGCCCACCCAGCTCGCCCTCGTCCCCTCCCGGGGGTCCCCCCCAAATACAAACTCAAACACATTTTCCCTTCAAAACAGCTCGGAGGACACAGTCCTTGGCGCTAGGAAGCTCTGTCGCTTGAACAGCGAGGCCTGCATCTGTCCGAGCACGATGTAAGGACACCAGGCCCTGCGCGGCCGAGCGGGAGCCCCCGGGCTGGGCTGCGCCCGAGGCTCCGGAGAGGTCTGGAAGCGGCGGCGTTGGCGGCAGAGCTCCCGCGCCGCCCTCCATCCAGAGACCGCCCGGCGGCTCCGCGCTCTCACACAGCCCTGGGGCTTGAGCCGCCCTGCCCCGGGCGGTCGGGGCGGGTGGCCCTGCTCGGCAAGGGTCCACGGCTAGCCTGGCCGAGGCCCGCCTGGAGGAAGCACAATCTTGGGGCCTCTCCGTCCTTTCCTGCCAGAGGCCGGGTTGCCTGGCCCCAGTGCCCCTCCCGGCTCCACCTGCCCTGCTCTGTCCCCTTGGCGGGAAAGCCGCAGCCCCCGTTCCCGGCTCCCTGCAGTCGCGGCTCTGCTGGCGTGAGGCTGCCCCACGTGGAGGCGCCGCTGAGACCAGGAGGGTGGATGCCAGCCCCGGGCATCTCCCTGGCTTGGCTGGTCGTCCTCTTGCAGGGCGGGGCTCTCACAGGCCCCATCCCAGTCGGGGTACCCCTGGCCACTGCAGGCACCGGCTGAGCCCGCCCACAAGCACACCCCCTCGAGGACGAACGTCTGGAACATGAGGGAGGCCTGTCGTGGCAGAATTCGAGGAGGGGGTGCAGCCAGCTCGGTGCTGCCCAGTCCCACCTCTGGGGGGCCAGGGGAGGATAGCAGCAGCAGCAGCAGCCGGACTCCACCAGGCTCCGGGGTCCAGGTGTCCAGGAGCCCATTCTTCTGTCACTGACCCCTGGACAAGGGCTATGCAGGACTCCTAATGGGCTCTCCAGGAACCCTGGTTGCCCATCTTCTAGAATAATCTTCAGCGATTCTAGAATAATCTCCTGCGTGGAACCCCAGCTGGTACAGGCGCTTTCCCGAGGTTCTCACAGCTCTCCAGAGCCTTTCAGGCCAGATGGTGCTGCTATAATTCACGTGACAAGAGAGGAAAGGCCAGGCAGGGACTGCAGCTGCCGGTGGTTTAACTGTCAGGTTTACTGGGTCTCCAGCAAAGCCACGGGCCACCCCGTCCCCGCTGTCTCCTGAAAAGATGGCCTCCTCGCGCACCGGCCTCCTGGTGATCCTCCAGCAGACCCCATGTGCTGGCTGTGGCTTCAAGCTGCCGCCCGGGCCACCACCCTGACCAGGCTGGAGACGGGGCCACTGTGGGCAGGACACAGGCGAAGCCACTGGACGGAGCTTGTGTTATGGGGCCGGGAGAGGGGCAGCCCAGACCCCCCAGACCTGCCTGCTCTAAATAGGCTCTGCCATCCGCCACATCAACACAAAACATATGAGATTTTCATGGGAAGGACCTTTAATACAATTAGTAAGCAATACAGGAAATACAAAGAATCTAGTTTCTAAATCAAGCACCCAAAGTGACCCGTCCCCTCGTGGGTAAAAATCCACCCAAGCGGGATTGGCCCAAAGCTGCCCCAGGTCTAAAGCACCTTCCAGTGGGACCCACAGAAAAGGGTCAGAAACAACCAGACAAGTCTGGGAGGAAAAGGGCAAAATCAAAATCAAGACAAAACCCGCCATAGTCCCCTCCCCACGGGTCTCGCCCACGTCTGTGTCACCCCGTCCACGCCCACAAGGCAAGAGCAGTTTCTTCACGTGTCTCTCAGCTCCACGTGCCTCCCCCAGGGCTCCTTCTGGCTCCATCCTGCTCCTTCCTTCCTCAGTCTCCTCTGCAGCTTCCTCTCTTCTCTCTAGCCCACCCTCCTTTGGGTGGGGCAGGGAACCTGGAACCTCCCCCTTTCCTGGGGACCCCCTGTTCCACTTGAATTCCTCTGAAGAATTGTGAAATGACTTGTCCTAGAATATCATCTGTTCCTTTTAATTCAACATCCTCATGGGATGGAGAAGGGGCCAAATAACAAAAGGCCGGGCCTCTTGCCATGTGGCCACCTGCAGGCCTCTCACCGCGTGGCCATGCTGCCTCCTGCGGGCTCCCGGGGAGCAGGGCGTGAGGAGCCCCAGGCGCACAGGAGTGAGCCAAACCCTTTCCATTATCTGTCCTCCCTGACCCTCCCCAGGTCAGTCCCTTCACCACCCACGCCCTCGCCACCAGAATAAGCGTTGGAAACAGCAACAGAGTTCCTGGGAGCCGGCCCCTGGCCCCGTGACCCCGCTCCTGGGCCTCAGCCCCGCGAGAGCCGCCCGCCCTTCACAGGCCAAGGGCCCACTGAGGCCAGAAGGGTCTTCCCAGCGGCTTCAGGGGCTTCGGCGAGTCGTAGGCAGAAACCAGCCGAGAGCACATGGACCAGGGACTCCCGTGGCGGCCCCCTCATCCCTGCAAGACATGAGGGAAGCCCCCGTCACAGCCGCGTGATTCTCCCCGAGGAGGAGGGCAGAGTCGCCCTCCGGGGTGAGGGCGGTGATGAGCCCCAGCGGCTCCCCGTGCCCCTTCCGCGGCGACGCGCTCTGAGCCGCACACTTCCCGGCTCCACCGCACTCCCAGACGCGCCCAGCGAGGGGGGGTCTGCGGATGTTTCCGCCTCTCAGATCAACTCAGATTCCCAGAAAAGACTCCCCGGGGCTTGGAGGGAGGGTGTCAGGGTTCCTCTGCGGCCGGGGTTGCTGCACGTGGAGCGCACGGCCAGTGTCGCCTCTGCGCTGAGGTCCGTAGGCGCAGCTGCGAGGCTGGCGTCGCGCCTCATCGCCGAGGATGTAAGATTCAGCTTGAAGTAAACGCTCCAGAGGCAGCTCCGCTCTCCCAGGGGCCGGGAGCCCGAACAGGAGGAGGCCTGGGGCTCCTGGCCGCTGGGCTGCTCGCTGGGCCCTGCCTGGGTGGAGCCTCCCTGAGCAGCGGCGGGAGGTCTGGCCTGCGGTCTGGGACGGAGACCCGCGCGCCTCCTCGCCGCCAGTGGCCCCAGGCCTTGGGCGAGTGCGCTGAGCTTTCTGTGGCTCAGTTTCCTCAGCTCGGTGCCAGGGGTGGCAGTGCACGCGCTGCCCAGGATGGTCCAGCATGGCCCCGGGAGGCGGTGGGGCTCATCTCTAGCCTCCACGTCTTCCCCGCGCCGGGCTGCCCTCCTTGGCCTCTCTGCCTCCAGACTCAGCTGCCTCCATCCGACGCCGGCCAGCATGGAAGATCCGTGCCGGGCTGGCTGCCCTGGGCCCGGGACCTGTGCCTGCCTGTGGGAGCCACCCTCTCACTGCTGCCCTCTGCCCTCCACGGCAGCTGTCGCAGCGGTCTCTAGGGTCCCCGCCCAGCTCCACAGCACGGCAGGCCAGGAGGCAGAACACGCTGGCAGACCCCCCTCGTGGGGTCCTCTGTCTGGACCAGTGTGTTCCCTATTTGGGGAAACACACGTCCCCCGACTTTCACCGTGTTAGCTGCAAACAAACTCTTCATGACGGTCAGTCCGTCTATTAGATGGTCGGCGTGAGGACTCAAAGCAGGAGGCCGCCCAGCGGGCTTGACCGTGAAGCTGCTCCGAGAAGCGCGCGCCGGGTTGCTTCGTAGCGGCGAGAGCAGCGACTCACTGGCGCGCGGAC